TCGAAAGAAGAATGTGGTGGTGGTGGAAAACGTGAGTGTGGATACAATGGTGATGGATACGGTAGTGGTGGATACGATGGAGGTGGTGGTAGATATGATGGAGGTGGAAGACGTGAAAAATTAGGGTTATGGAGTTGAGACCGTAGTAGAATAGGCTATGGATACCGTAGTGAAAATTGTGATAATTTTAGAAGAGGAGGTGTGGAAGACATGGACGTAAATATAATGAAGGTGAAAATTTTAAGACGGTTGAGGTGTAGAGGAGGAGATAGTGGATGCAATCAATATAGAGTTTTATGGCTGGTGGGTTGTGAGATGGTTGATGTCGGTTGTGAGATGGTTGATGGCGGAACTGACAGAGGTTATGGTTGAAAGCTTAGAGTAGAGGAGGAGAAGATAGTGGATGCAACTGAAGTGGATTCATGTGGCTGGTGAATTTTGAGGTAATATGTGTGGTGTTGGGGAAGCAAATCGTCGTGTGTGGTGGAAAAAGAGAACGGCGGAGATATGACGGTAGATTAGAAAAAAAGATGATGAAGAAGATAAGATAAAGAAAAATTAAATGATTTAAATTTATTTTAAAATAATATGGTTTATAGTCAATCCTACAAAAGTAAAGGTTCCATTGTAGCTAAACATATTTTTTCTTTCTAGAAAAAGAAGGCTATTTCCGTCAAGAAAAAACAGCTGTCCAAAGAAAGTGTGTCAAAGACACAATGTGTCTTTTAGTGAAAGTCAAATTCATAATGTGTTCTTTAATGTAAGTCTCTCTAGTTAAAGGGTAGATTGGACAAATCAATATGATAAAGTGTGTGATAAAGTCCATGTGTCTTTTTGGTTAATTAGAATCTTGGAATGTGCCTGCTAAGATAAAAAAAACTAGTGTTTATTATTTACATTTCTTAGAAGGAGAATAAAATTGCAGGGGCTACTCTAATTTAGAATTATTCTACATGATATATTTTTTGTTTGATAATATCCAAAATGTAGACAAAATCTATTAATATGTGTTTGCGGCTTTTATTTGTTTGATATAATTTTGTTTGAAGTTGTGTCCTTGTTGTTTGTTGAAAGAGTCAATTATATCGACACAACAACAATTACAAGGTAACAACTTGCGGCTCTTATTTGTTTGATATAACAAGGCTAATTAATGACCTGCTTTCCTGTACAAATCCATGTGTAGACAGTGTAGTTACTAGATCAGTCGTCGTATAAGCTGATGTAATTTTGGACTTTGGTATATTGATATGTGTTGAGGTTTGTTCGTATACAAGAAACATTGAAACGTAAGACAATTGCGGTGCAATATATATATATTTAAAGGTTTCTATACGAAATAGAGTAAATTCCTTATAATCTGACCAACTTGAGAAACATTGAAACGTAAGACAACTTGTGAATAAAGTGATACACATATGCGAAATATTGGAACTTAGTGCCATTTGCATGGAACCGTGTTTTGAGGCTATATCTTCGTGCAGGTGATGACTATACCAATTTACGGTTCCCTCGTTATGTATAATCAATAAAAAAAAACGGTAAACCGTGAGGGAATTTTAAATCACCGATGACCACAAGTTAGGGATATCTGAAGTTAGGGATATCTGAGTATAGGCGGATTCAAACTCAATTCATTTAGCGACGAAGGAACATTTTGCTACCATTCAACCACGAATGCGTGGTTTAATCAATCAATGTACAGTATAAATTCTATAAACTAATACTTGATAAATTAATAAATTTTTCCGGTATCAAGATCGATTCAAAATTTGACACAAATCAATAAAATAATAAGATAATATTTTTTTAGAAAATTTTATGTAAATATATAATCTTATTCAAATTATAAATTAATAATTTATATGTACAAAAAATTATATAAGTAAAAATCTATCATTATAGTGTTTGTTTTATATTCACAATAGAATTATCTATATATTTTCTTAATACTTAATATATTTTGATAAGATTTAATAATATTATATATAAGACCACATTTATTCTATACAATATATATTAAATATACCAAATAATATAATAAAATTAATATAAATTTCAAATTTCAAAATATAATAATTAATGTCTATACAATAAAATCAATTTTTTTCTTATCTTATAATAAATATATCTTAAAAGAAGAAATATAATAAAGAAATTTTTAAATGAATATCATTATAAAAATTAATAAAATTACAAAGTCCCAACATTATTAATTTATAGAGATTAATTATATTGTTGTTGTGAATTATTAATCTTTTTAAAAAATTCTTAATTAATTTATCATGAAATGTTTATTAGGGCAAATAAACAGATTTAACAATTGTTTTAACTAATTTAACTTCTGGAATAATTAGTATAGGCATTAATTTGAGTTTGCGGTTAGCTGTCTTCTTTTCTTTAACTTCCTCTTCACGTAACTACCGCATGGAGAGCGCTGTCTTTTCTAGTTATGACGTGAAAGCTTCTTAAGAGACAGCTTTTACTTCCACCGTTAAACTCTTTTAATACCTATACTTTTCACCCCTAATATTTTTAATTACTCAATTACACCCTTGTATTTATTTTCATATAAATAGACATCAAGAAAAACCTTTCTCCTTGGGCTCTTCTTTCAAATCTCTCTTCCCTGCTCATTGCAGGGAAACCACTCCCCCCCCCATCTTGATTCTTGAATCTCTTTTGTTCACCATGGAAGTTAAGAACCAGATCAATGGTGGAGAAGAAGAGATCAAGAACAAGATGAAGAAGAAAAGATCACGTGGTGGCATGCACGTGATCGGTGTGGTTTTGTTCATGCTTCGCCGTCGTAGGAGGACAAAGCCGTTTAAAAACGGGTTTTGGCGGCGACTTGTTGAGTCCTTTCAGCCACCATCTAATATTACCATGCAGCCACCATCTAATATTACGATAATGCCACCGGCTTCTCCGGTGAAGGAGAAGTCTCCAGCGAGGAGTGAAGATCAGTTATCAGAGATGGTAGAGGTTCTCACGGCGACGTCTTCTTCTTGCTCTTCGGGAATCTCTGGATATGGATCGGCAAAGTCGTTGCGTGATATGGATTGTCTTGATGAAGATGATTATGATGATGATGATGATGAGGATTGCTATGGTGACGTTGATGGAGGTGATGAGATGATTGACGTGAAAGCGGAGGAGTTTATTGAGAGATTTTACGAGCAAATGAGGATACAAAATCAGGCGTACACAGGACGTTGCAAAGCCAAAGGGATGAAGACGGTCTAGAGATGAAGCATATTATATGACATAAACGTACGATTTATGTTGAGACGTTTTAATTTACAAGAAACATAATACGAGTATCTGTTTATTCATTTTATAAATTTAATTAGTCTTCTTGAATGTGTTTCTAGTCGATGGTGAATTTGTACGAATTGTTTACAATAATACTAAAATTATAAAATACATCATTTGTTTCCTATGACCAATTCTGTTAGGGCATCATTATTGCAAGGTTCTTAAGGTAAAGTCCTTAATACACATATATGTATATGTATATATTGTATAAGCATATATAGTTATAGGTTAAAGACTTTACCTTAAGAACCTTGCAATAATCATGCCCTTAGTAATTTATGTTGCAGAATTTTTCAAAAAAAGAGAAAAAAATAAGCTGCAGAAGTGAGGATTTGTTTTGGCCGAACCTGTGTCTATGAAATATATACATTTATGTATGATGAGACCTATACTCGTTACTCTTAGCTAAGATTCAGTTATGTTGGGTGTTTTTCAATGATGAACCACATTAATTAATGTGTTGTCATTATAGAATTGTTAAGTTTGGATTTTCTAAAATGAGCATAGCCATTAATATATTAACATGTGTACAAAAGAGATATATGATAAGATCTACAGAAAACCTGTGTCTTTTTGTCTTTCGAGTTGGTCATTTTTTCATTAGTTTATTAGCTTGATATCCTCCTCATTAATTTCTTAACTTGTTACCTCCACCATCTTATTGATGGAGTGCTCTAAGAACCAGGATGGACAAATGACAATATTGTGATCTCTTTTCTTGAAAACATTAAATTTCTAAAACTAAAAATTGTAATTAGCTTAAAAGTATTATTTTATATTGTTTAGAACGTTGGACGGGATTCTATATCAGGGACAAATGTCCCATATTGGTAGTTGGAAGAGATATACCATTCCATTTATTATCAGTTGATTCTACGTTGGAAGTCTATCTAGTTTAACATGGTATTCGAGTTTATGATCCACACAACCCAACCCGATCCATTATCGATCCAGCTCAAAGTTGGCCTATCGATCCTTGTCCAAATATTTAGAGATTGACGCTCAAAGAGTCTTCATCTCGAGGGACCACATTAGGGACAAATCCCACATCGATAGTTAGAAGGAATCATAAATAGTATATACGATAGATGGACCAATACACTTATCACCAATTGGTTTTAAGTTGGAAGTTCATCTACCTTAACACTCTAAACCGTTGCACATTATCTAAGCACCGTTGCACATTCTCTAAGCTTGTTCATCATAGATCCATTAAATTTTAGATGCAATCCACCCATGGATAACCCATCGATTTAAAACCTCTGATCCCAAGGCAAAATAATTCTTCTGAATGATACCATATTCAAAATATATCAACAGTTCATTTGTTTGCTGTGTTATTAAACTTATATAGTGTTTGTAAATTCCTAACTAGACTATAAACATGGATTCAGTATATACGTAAATCATTTTGTAGAAAACATAGGAGCTTGAATAGGTCTTAGAATCTAAAACAAGAGCAAGCTTTTCAGTTATGGTCAAACTTACATACAATTCCAACTTTACTGGCTTTTGGTTTGGCCTTAAAGATAGGATACATTAGAGGTTATTAACATGGTCATAGTGCCTTTCTCCGAGAAACTAGGGTTTAGCATTGTGGTTTTTTGTGTATTTAAAAAAAAATATACACTCCTTATTTTTCTAATTAAATCCATCCAGACGACAAATAATAGTCAGGTGTAATGCTGTCTTCCCGAGCTTTTAATGCAGCGGCACGTTCGTCTCTCAGACATCCTCTTCTCGCCAAGAGACTAGCTTCCTCTGGTCGAACCGCTGATCCTAAGATCCATGGTCGCAACGATGGAGACGAGCCTAGTCTTTTCCCAACAGACCCCGAAGTATCATCATGCATCTTTTACTTGCATTCTAATTAGATTTTACATTGTCACAACTTAAAATGTAGATTGTTTCTACAACATCTTTAATACATTAATTTGATTCTATTAGCAATCATGCTTTAAAGTCTAGACGTAGGTCCCAAAACATAACTTACTCACCTAACCAACCAGACTATAATTAACCGTGATATGTTTTTGTTGTAGGGTTTGGATGATGTAGCAAATCCCAAGACTCCGGCAGATGAGGTTGTACCGGACATTCGACCACCTGGTTTTGAAAAGGAACCGCTTAAGCCTCCTAAAAACCCAAGAGCCACTTCACACAAAATTGAGTCTACTCCGGTTGGTCTGCCCGCAGACCGTAGTCTACAACAGAAACGAAAATAAGAGCAGCAAAAGCCTTAGCAGCTGCACCTGCCATGGTCGCCTAGTATAAGACATAGTATTGTGAACTGATGGCAGATATGCTTTTGAGAATAAAAAATTAACTATTTATGCTTCTTGGGATTAAAAGAAAGTTATTTACTTCCATCTGACGCATGAGATTAGGCACAATAGATTTGATTCAAGCATATGTGAGTGATAACTAAAAGACAGTTTTCACAGGGTCCAAAAGGGTTTTAATTTGGTTCTTCAACAAGATTCATTCAGTGTTTATCCTCCACAAGATGTAAATTTTGAAGAGAATTACATTCCAAAGTTGCTATTAATGAGGTTTTAAAAGAAAATAGATAGACATTTTTTTTGGGCAAAAATAGAAAGCTAAAATCAGAATTAGCTGGTAATCTCTTATATCTCAGAGCACAATGTTCAGAATGTAACATACCCTAATTTAAAATCAGAAATAGCTGGTAATCTCTTACATCTCATATGACAATATTCAGTAGGGTAATGGTTAGATCAAATAGGGTATGGAGATAGAAGCATTGTTCAGTAAGTCAGAGAGACAGTTGATGGTTGAAACAAATAGGGTATGGAGGCATTGTTGAGTAGGTTAGAGAAACAGTTGATCGTTAGAACAAGTAGGGTATGGAGATAGAGGCATTGTTCAGTAAGTCAGAGAGAGATGGTTGATGGTTAGAATAAACAGGGTCTCTCCTCGGTTGATAAATATTGTTGAGGATTGGCCATTGAATAACAAGCGAGAGAACAACATAACATTCAAAGTGTTTCTACAGAAACTTTTTCTTTCTGTCGCGCACTAGTTGGAGACCATCCTTTGAGTTGAGATGATGAGAGTTAATATTAATTTGTCTCGCTTCTTCCTCTTCCTCCTCTACTTAATATGTCTGATTCTGTTTTCTGATTAATGTCTTTGAGCTCGGTTTCTTGCAGCCCAAGTCTGAGAGAATAATTGATATATAGGAATATGGTACAAAGAAGACTTATCGTCTCACTGGGCTCATCGTGGGAGGACTTGTTGTGTTCATCCTCAGCTGCTTCTGCCTCTGGAAACGAATTAAAAGAGGTGCCGCAGAAGAAACTAAAGATTAGAAGTGAATAAAACAGGTTAGACGTGTACAGACAGATGTTGATTAAATGATCTAATATGCCATTTTGGAGTTCAAGAACGAGGTTAGATGTCGTGAACGTCCTTAATAAATTAAAAACCAATTCCTTTATACGAATGATGTTTAAGAGATGTATTTCCGTTCTTGTTTAACCAAATGTGTTTAAGAACGTCCTCATTTTTGAACACCACGATCCCTGGAGATGACATTACACAACCTTTCACGGTGACTCGTGTTTCCGTTCGCTAAGATTCCCTGTCATCACATTGTCAAATAGATCACAGAAATATGAATTTAGGGATTAATTCTAAATATATTTTGTTTTTTTTTGTAATTCTACATGTTACGCTATAAAATTATAGAGTATTAAAATGAATGAACAACTAGATCTTCACCTTCATAGTCGTGCGGAATTTATTTTTATGTTACAAGGTTTTAGTTTAATTAACAAAAAATATCAATAAATAAAATTTGATGTTATATACTATCTAATTTATAATAATTTGTGTGTAGTTCATAATATTATTACTATATTTTTTTATATTTTTATTTTTAAAACATTCATTTAACGTAAATTTTTAATATCAGTAAAATATAAAATATTTTATATAATTTTAATTTCCGTTTAAATATGAGAACTAAATTAAAATTTAATTTTAAGTATATTTATGATAACTAAAATTAAGCAATTTCAGAAATCAGTTAAAAAGATTCTAACATATTTAAAGAAGATTTTTTCATATTTGTTCTCAAACTATTTTATTCCAATTAAATAGAGATATTAAAATATATTATGATTGAGTTATATAAAAGTTGATAGATTTGTGTAAAATTGGTACTAATTAAAAGATCCACTACAAGAAAACTAAGCATTTACTAGGAAATTTTACTAGGAAAAATGTTCCTCGTAAAATTACTAAGCCCTTACTTCGGGTTTACGAGGAAATCAAATTTCCTCGTAAGATCCTCGTAAAGTTACGAGAAAAAGCTTTCCTCGTAAGACCTTAGTAATTTTACGAGGAGCTTACGAGGAAAAAGTACAGTTCCTCGTAAAGCTGTAGTACTGCCTTTCCTCGTAAAATCATAGTAAAGGTTTACTACGAAATTAGGAGGAAACGGTTTTATTACTACGAAATTAGGAGGAACTGGATAGAAAATATCGAATTTAAATAAAAAACGTGTTTTGTACCTACTTTTCCTAGCAATTTCCTAGTAAATGCTCAGATTCGAAAATTTCTATAAATACCACCTTATGTGATTCATTTGAAACACACCAAAAAATAATCAGCTATAAGCTTGATCAAACACAAAAAAATGTCCGGTCCGGGAAATATTTTTGAGTTGCGGCAGTGGATGTATTCACACAGAGATAATAACGGGAGGGTGACGAAAGAATTTCTGGAAGGGTTGGAGACGTTTATGCATCAAGCAGATTCTACACCACTCACGCAGGAAAGTGGTAAGATGTTCTGTCCTTGTCGGAAATGCTGCAATACCAAATTAGGCCCTCGTGAAAATGTTTGGAAGCATTTAATAAATAGAGGTTTCAGGCCATATTATTATATTTGGTATCAACATGGAGAAGATGCTAGTTGTAGGAATGAAGGTAGCAGTAGTAATCAGGTTA